AAAGTATAAAAGAATTAGAAGAAAATTTGGCGCTCATTTTCAGGCCATTCACTTATGCAATGCTCTCTTACCTATGACAAAAAGAGCTCAAGTAATGGAAGTAAAAGAAATAAATAGATACCACCAAACTTAAAAAAAACTTGCTTACTTCAAATGGAACCACAAAAAGTGAAAAGACAAACTCTATACTGGGAAAAATGTTTGCAAATCTTGTATCTGTTAATGTATTCATATTTAGAGTATTTAAGAACTTTGACCCCTCAATAATAAAAAAGAAACATAACTCAATTAGATATGGGTAAATAATTTAATAAGCACCCCTCACATATACAGGGGGATAAATATGTGGATATGTACTTCAATCATTTTTAACTTAAAGAAACACACATCAAAAGCACAATGTGATGCCTCTTATATCCACCAAGCAGAAGAAACAAACAAACAAAAAAGGATCCAACAATGTGCTGAGTCTTCCTCAAGCAAGAAGTTATGGAATTAACCACCTGGATTTGTAGTCCAGTTCTGCCATTCTTTACTCGTTGCCTATGTTGCCTAGTTTTTCTATAGTTTTAAAATGTAAATCCTGCTGCCTACACCCAGTGAAAATTTAATGATGAGATGATACTTGTAAGGCACTGAAATTAGTGCATGTCAGAAGATAAACAGCAAATATCTATTAACCATTAAGGTCATTGTTCCCACTTCTCTCCATTTTTTCTTTTCTTTTCTTTTCTTTTCTTTTTTGTGCTTTAAGTGTGAAGCAGAAACTTCCTCTAAAGCATCTTCCATTCAAGACATACTGAAGAGAGACTTTGTTCTCAGCTTCCTCCTGCTCTGATTTCCCTGACTTGGAGAAGGTTGGGGAGCCCAGGAGAGGAGCCCAAGAGCTTTCTAAGATTGTTATTCCCGGTGCCAGGAAGTCCTTCTATCCAGCAGTTTGTCTCTGAGGCTAGCAGAGGAATCAGGATTTTCCTCTCTCTTTGCCTTCATGGGATAAGGTGGATAAAAGCCTATGCAGAGCCAGGCAAAGTGTCCCTCACCCTTCTCCTGCAGCTTCTTACAGGAATGTCTGGGAGGCATGCTGTGCACCACACACTGTTGAGGAGGTGCACGCGGACCTATCTGCAGACTTTAGTAGGCTCTCAGTACAGCATCAAGTCTGTTCTGGAGAGAAGAGGTAGCATAAAGCAGGGGGCCTTCCTTTTGTGCATACATCTGGTCAACCCTCCTTATAGAGTTTTATACAGGGAAACTGAATCCTCTGAGCTTCATTCAGAGTCACCAGGAGAAACCCAAAATGTGATCATTTAGGAACTTGTTCCAAAAGGAGAAGTGGGAATTCTAACTTCCAACACTGAAAGACTTGAGTAGATGCTCTCCGGCCTTCTAGGAACTCTCTTTCAGAAAAGTCTACAGCCAAGGGAAATTACATGAGGAGACTGTCTCCAGGCCCAGTGAGTGTTCCCTGAGAGGAGCAGATGGTAAAGTTTAGAAGAGCCATGGAGGGTGGAGGAACGCCCAGCGCTCATCTTCATGAAGACCCAACAATTAACGCAGTAGTGCCTGTTAGAAACTTCACAGTTTGTCAGCAGTTCCACCTTACCCATCTTCTCTGTCCAATCGGTCATTTCCTTCTGCTGCTACCAGCCCGTTTACAGGTCTGTGTCTCTCCCACCTTATGTGGGGAAGTCTCCACTCTGTGTCGATCACCTCTCAGCTTGCTTCTGTATTCACTGCTGCCCCCCTATGTCTAATCATCCCACACTAATAATCAGAGGATCAGGTAAAATGCAAGAGCCATTGTGCTACACTCCTTCTAACACACTGTCTTTCATGCCTCTATTCTTACCCAAAACAAAAAAGTACTTGGGTTAGGAGAAAATCTGCTTTTTTGCCATCATCTAGTATCTTTATCTCGAATCTCTTTCCTTTTATTTTTGAAGCCCCAATTCTATGTGTCTTATTTTTGTTTTTCCAAAGCAATATTTTCACCACTGTATCAGGGCATCTGCATGGCATGTGTTGAACTCTTTTGCAGGAATCTCATGATTTTCTTCTTGGCCTCCAGCAGCAGCAACAAAAGGAAAACCGGCCCCAGCACCTGCTCTTCTCCCACACCGACTATGTCACGCAGTCCTGGCCTCTCCCGACAAACCTGCCGTGGCTCAGGCTACTGCCCCTGTGCCAGGAAGGAAGGGGTGAAGAAATCTCTTTCCTTCTTAGGCCACAGAACCCACACATGTTGTAAAGGTAAGGAATGATGACTGTTTCTGTCAAACTGAGTGTGTGAACTTTGGTTTATCCCCTTTCATCCAAAAAAGACTCTGTCCTGATTTCTCACCAGTGACTTCAATTCAAGGATTTAGAAAATACAGGTGCTACCTTATTGTAACTTAGCAAAAATCTAAATAAACCGTTTGGCTCACTTGCTTTCAATCAGTGTAACACAAACACTAACTCAGAAGGTTGCCCAGCTGAGCATCTCATCCTCATTTTCCCACTGACACCACTGCCCAAAACCACCCAAAGGATTGGACACCATTCTCCATGAAATGTCGCCTGCCCCTCACTTCCTCACTGCCCGGGAGAAAGCTGAAGTTTTCTCTTCTTCTGTCATCGAATGCTTTGCATTCTTATAATTAAATAAAGGGCTAAATATTCCTGGAAAAAAGAACTAAAAAGATATAAGTCACAGGACTTTCAAAACAGCAACTCTTACAATTTAGAGAATCTAGCACAACTTACAGTAGCTACATTTTGGAAACAGCCCATATGCTCATCAACAGATGACTGGATAAAGAAAATATGGTATTTATTTACCATGGAGTACTACTCTGCCATAAAGAAAGATAAACCTGGGACATTTTTAGGTAAATGGATGCACCTCAATACCAAAATCCTAAGTGAACAAATCAAACACATAAGTTTAAAGATCACATGGTTTCTCTTGTGTGAAAAATTCAAAGTATAAATAATGAGCAAAATAGATGACCGATATTGGGAAGTACGAAGAAATACTTTAAATGGGAAGGGAACAAGTGACAGGGCAGAGGGAGGGACAGAATGAAAAGGGAATTAACAGGGAAAAAACAACTGAAAAAATTTGGAAATGGAGCTTTTGAAAATGGGAAGGAGGAAGGGGTTGGCTGGAGGAGAGAGGAAATGGATTTTTAAAGGTACTGAGATGTGTTAATTACAAATTCCCCATGATAAATGTATTCTTTATGTACTGCAAATAAGTACTAATAAAAAAGATTTACAGAACCCAGAACATCTGGTGGCCTACATGTACAGAAGACAATTTTTCAGAAGAGAAGACCACCTAAAATGTGTAACTGTGCTGCACCTTGTCAATCAGATGTGCTTCGTCCAACATCTCGTATGAGCCTGTGTCTACCCCTAACACAGCCTTTGTTGGTGAGTCTCCACCCCCTTTGGCCTGCCAGGTTCCCAAGAATTATTCCTTAACCCATGACTTTCTAGAACTATTTGACCTTGTTGCGGGGAACGCAATGAATTTGGTTATGGTGATATCAAACAAACCCGGGGGTTCTTCTGGTTTGTGCCTTGGTATCAAGAGGATCTGCTTCCTCAGGACAGACACAGCATCACAGTGATGCTTTCAAGGGTCTCCTGTGATCTTTCCATAATCTCTGCTAACATAGCTCAGATTCTGGACTTTCAAGGCTGGTACTATATTTTTCTATGAATCTCTGGCTATAAATTCAGGTAGCTGTGTCCTACTTTCCCATCACAGAAATCCATCTGTTTTTCCCTAAGGCAAATAAATTCTTCAGACACAAAAATATATGTTTACTGAGTCCTATATTCCAATTGTGCAATATCAAGGCAACCAAAATTGCAGAGAATATTACGTGAACCGGTGGGACATTCCTTCCGGATCAGGGAAGAATCCAACACATGGTTTTGGAAGACTGTGATGTCCAAGGGTCTAGTGCTGTCCTTACTTTTCCTCCTGGTGCAGAGACGGTGCAGTAGGAGAACCACTCCTTCCTTTGGTTCCAAACTCCTGTGGATCGGCAGCGCCACTCACACTATGCTTCCTGCTTTGTATATTCACATCATTCTAATGGGACCAGACACAAAGCACCTCGACAGAGTTATATAACGAAGTAGAGGTGCAGAACGGGTCTGGACCTGTGTGATTTGCTAGGAGACGAAGAGGAAAGGACAGGGGCACTGTGTGAGAGGTCTACACTGTACTTTCAGCTCGTGTGTTAATTAATACGCGTGCTCCTGAGGAAGGGAGTCCCCCTGCTCTTTCACATCCTCTGAGGAAAGATTGCATTAGTACAATTTCCTCCAGCCTTCTTGCTGTCTCCACAATGCTAGGAAGCTTCACAGTGCTGTGGCTCCTGTGCCCCAACAAGGCACCAGATGTTGGAGAACCAGGCTGGGCGTCGTCTCTCCCACAGCCAGTCTACGTGCACCAGCCGAGGCCCTGTCTTTGCCCTACCCCATCTCCACCAAACTGTGCCTTTGGCAGATATTTTCTGAACGTTGAGTTATAAAATTAACAAGTTGAAGAAAAATAATAAAGTACAGAAAGAAAAGAAGTTAGCAGAAAATCGTTACTAGAACTTGAAAATCCTGTTTACAGTCACTCAGTAGCCATGGGATTTGAAAGTGAAGCAACTGAAACAAGCTTGTGTAGCAGCACAGCTTTGTCCACAAGAGGCCTCTGGGCTTCTCTGCTCCAGGCCTCCCCATCCAAGGCTGTGCCTCAAATCTCCTCAGTCAGGGATGGCGGACCTTTTAGAGCTTTCACTGATTACAGCCTGCTGTGGCACATGGGCCATAGCTTCCCACCACTGCCCTAAACGTCTGAGGTAAGGGTGCACCGAACCTTCCCACCCCACAGTACCAGCTGTGCCATGGGAAGCGGCCTGAGTTGTTCTCACTCCTCTCTTACACATTACAGAAACAATACATGAAAACCCACCAGCTCCACAGCCAGGCAAGAACAGCTCTACACCTACCTTCTTCAGGCCTGCAGTGTCGGCCCTGTGTCCGATGAGGATCAGGTGCTGATGAAGATTCTCAGGTTCTGTGCGTAGATACAGCCACTTTCGTGCACTCCACTTTAATTCTGGATTCTCCTTGTAGTAGATTTTTTCCTAAATCCTAAAAACTGTGCTAAGAATTCTTGAGAAAGCAGAATATGTAGTTCCTTCTTCATGTCAGCAATGTCATATGACCTTTTGTCCATCATATGGGTGTGTATCTATTTTGAAATAGGCTGAAAACTCAGTAGCTGCAACTTCTGGTCTTTCGTATGAAAACATGGACATCAGTATGAGATTGTGCTGTGACCCAGACTCTGTTGAAAGGACCTAATGAAGCAAAGTAAATTAATGGCATTTAGAAGAATATGAAAAGCCATTATCTTAATATCACACTTATGTCACACAGTCTAAATGTGGTCTTTACACAAAATCACACTGCTGGGCATTCATCAAGAAGGCCCACACCATGTCAACATGTTGGTTGCAGAGCAGTAATTAACACGCCACCATTCTAACTCAGTGAAGCACCAGGCATCCAAAGAGCCTAGCGTTTTGTTGAGACATATTCAGTTGCTATTATTTATGGTATGACCTTGTTTTCTTTTGAACCTATGAGTCCTCATTTATGAATGAGGACAATGTTTACCTTATCAAAGTGCTATATTATCCAATTTTCAATTGCTCTGACAAAATGCTTCAGGCTGGCTAATTTTGTAAAGAAAAGAGGTTCACTTAGGTCATAGTTGTGAAAATCCAAAAGCATGGCTCCAGCCTCTGGTGGCTCTAATGAGGGCCCTTTGCTTGCATCTCAGCATGGTGGATGCTTTAATGGTGGGAATGTGTAGAAGAGGTTGAGACAAAATGGTCAGACATAGGGACAGAGTAGAAAGGAGCCAGCACTGCCTTCTTATAAAAGCCCATCACAATGGGAACCAACCAGGGTCCCATGAACAGTACCTTAATATCTTCTTAGAACAGTGACCGAACAACTAATCATCTACTGTTAGGCCCCAACTCTCAATGTGCCCACTGCCACACGGAGGACAGTCTCCAACACAAGGTTCTTGGGGACAGGCACTGTCCAAACCATGGCAAAGAGGAAAGCGATGGTGGTCAGTTTCCCTCATTCAATACATTGGTAGAGAAAGAAACATCACAAGGTATAAGTAAAATAAAAGCTAGATGACAGGATTCAGGGAAGTAGCCCTAAAGAGTTCTAGAGGTGGAGGGAGAGGGAATAGAAAGGAGGGAAGAGGAAGTAAATAAGTGAAATATGTGCACGTACCAACTCCCCACTGTAAATGTGTTCATTACGCATCACAAACATGCATTAATAAAAGAGAAAAAGGGAATAAATAAAAAATGGAGTCCCACTTTAACCTGAAGACTAGTGATTTTTGGAAAACATTCACAGAATCCTTCTCAGTTTAAACAAAACTTGTCTGAACTATCATTGGTGTGGCCAAACCATAGTCATTAATGTTCAGAACGCCAAAACGCAGACTCAAACATTCCAACTCTTCAGACAGTTCTCGCCAATAGTCAGTCCAGCCTTGTAGCCACTTATTTGGAGTCTTCAAGCAGAGATGAAATTGAATTGCCAGTGTACCTTATTATTATCAAATGAGAAGACAGGAAAGGAGATTTGAAGAAGTCTATGTGTTATTGGTAAACATTGCTATAATTTCAAGAAAATTCTATCCTATAGTGAAATAATAATTGTCTTTACAACAAAGTTAGTAACACACTACAGAGTTTTTCAATTTTGTAAACTGATAATTAAGATCATAATGACTGGGATACCACTTAGTGTTCCATACGAGTATACACTGCATAATGTTCAAGCATACTTATCTCCTCAAACACTTGTCATTGCACAATTCTTCGTAACGTTTCTGTTTTTACAGATAGGATGGATGGCAGATTGCCATCTGATCTTTTCAGTAGCATTCTAAAATTATCTGATGATAGGTATTTGTACTTCTTAGATTATAATATTTTCTTGTCCCTTGCTGTATTCCTTCTGACCTAAAAGTACCTCAGGGAGACAAACCCAATCTGTTACCCAAACAAAGACAGCTTCTCTTCATAAATACAGATGGCCTCCTTCATCCTCAGCACTGAGAAGGATCCGCCCAGGGAGAGACAATGGGCAGGTTTGCAAGCCGCTGGAGCAATTTGATACCTGACATTTCTTGAGGAGCCTTGCGAAAGCTGCTGAAGTCAGCACATGGGTAAAATCGGGCACTGTGGTGCATATCTCCTTTTTTAAAAATTTTGAGACAAAATCTTGCTAAATTGCTAAGTTGCACTTGGTGGTCTCAAACTTGCAACCCTCCTGCCTCAAGCTCGCATTGTGCTGGGATTGCAGGCATCTGCTACCACACCCAGACCCACTTCTTCATTATGAAGTATTCTCTGTTCTGTTTTCAGGCAATGCCCTTGGAGACAGAAAGGAGGGAAAAACCAAAATCTCTGCTCAGACTCAATGCAACTCCTAGATGGGAAGCCCTGTGATTTTTAAAAACCAAGTTATCTGGGCCCAAAATACAATAGCAAAGGGCAAACATTTTCATTCCAAAATAGAGGAATAGCGGGATAGAAAGTCATCAGACTAAAGCAGGCCTGAAACACAGCAGGGCAAATATTAAATCCGGTCACTCCATGTGCAGCCTTTGGGGTACTTGGTGGTGAGACTTGAATTCCACAAAGCTTGGTCAGCCCCCTGCACCCCGGAGTGCCTTGCTAGGTGTAGCTCACATGGCCTCTATCTCTTGGGCTAACTCTGCTAATGGTCTGCAGCTTTGCTTGGTAGAGGTTCCATGTTCCCAGCATCCTCAATTTCCTGGAGCCTCCACTGCACCTTCAGCTTCATTCGCAGGCTTCACACATCTCATGCTTGTGGGCTCTGGTCCTACCACACATTTTTGATCACCTTCACAGGCTGATATCATTAATCGGACATACTAACTTGATTCCAGTGAGAACTGCCTAGCAGGTTAGTGAAGGCCTGGATGTCTGCGGAAGACGGACATGTAGGCCAGCCAATTGGGTGCCGAAGCCCCACCCCGGATATGGATGGAACCAATCAATTGGCTTGTAGCCTGGATGGAATAAAAAAGAAAGGAAGAAGGAAAGGTTCCTCCACCCTTGACTTTGGACATTTGTCTCCTGCTTGTTCAACCTTCTGGCATAGACTCTTCAGGCTTCTGAGCCTCATACCTGTGACACCACAGGCTCCAGGCCTTCAACAGGCAACTGCTCCATGATCGTCTGGCTCTTCAATGTGCACAAAGCCGTTTTGGATTTGTCCACCTCTGAGTCTGCAGATGGCCACTGAGACTCTACTGCTTCCGATCCTGTAAGTTTCCTAATACATTTCTTTATATAATTATGCATGTATCTTATATTTATTCTGCTCTTCTAGAGAGCCCTAACTAAGACACAGGTCTTCCACTGAAATCTGTGAGGAGGCATCTATGGTCCCATCACTCTTGCATTCTGTATACCTGTAAAACCAGCACCACGTGGACAAGGCTACTGTCTCCTACCAGCTTGATCACTGGTCATTCCCGTGGACAATGACTGCAGTGGCTTCTGAGTGCCTCGGTGCCCGTGCTTGGTGAAATAACCCCAGTAACCATTCCCAAGGCAGCCCTTCCCAAGCAGGGAGTCCAGAGGCTCTCTTCCCAAATGGAATGAAGGTGCATTTACACCCATTGGACTATAACTTATGGAATCATGATGATTCCTAAGATGCCCTCAAGGCAACTTTCTTTTCACCCCAGTGTACAATACTTGGTTTATTTTTAACTGTGAGCAGTGAGGCTCACGGTCTGGGAGGCTCTTACTGCACCATTTCTTTCCATAAGTTTGCACGCTCATCTATCAGATCGAGAGCATATTTATTCTCCTCTGCCCAGAGGGACATTCTAACCTCATTCTGAGTTTCAAGACCCATATTGCCTACACATACATGCCTGTTTTATGTTTCTTTTTCTGAGCATTATCTCTCTCACTCTTAGAAATATTTCTGAAACTGAGTGGTGCTCAGTCACCTTCATGGTACTGAAACTGTAGCTTAGATCTCCTTTGTAGTAGAATTTGCTTTGAGGAAATAACATTTTTAAATAAGGGAAGAAAACCTTTTATTTCTGAGGCCATGTGTAATTTTTAATTCCTCTTTGTTGTTTACATACATCTTTCCTATAGTCCAAGACATATAATTTCCCCAAATGTGTCATTACCGTGTAAGACTGCACAAAGCCATGGCAAGAGTTGAGTCAGGCTCACACAGTGGGTTTCAGTGTCTTTACCTCCTGCAGATGATGCAGGGCAGAATTGTTTTGACCAACTTGCTAGCACCTCCTGGAACTTTCGAATGCCACAAACCAACAGGGGCAATTATGTGTTTTGCCTAGGGATAGCAGGTTGGCCGTGTTTCATAGACATTGAAATGTAAATATAGCAGTTCCTGTGTCTCATATTTAGTTATGTTTCAGTCTGTGTCAGGGTCCATGAGAGACGGAAGCAGCTCAGGGAGCAATGGAGGGGAAAATAGAGCAGATGTGCATAAAAGATGAATAGCTTCCCGTTTCAATACTTGTCCTATATTTGTATTCACTGGGTCATTTCTGTAGGATTCTGATCCTCCAAGTCAGTAGAGTCTTGCAGCTGAGATATTTCCTCCCTCTTATCTCAATATCTGAAGAACGGTTTCTCTTTCTCTGGCATGGTGTGTCACCTGTGATAATGTGGTGACATGTGTTTTCTAACCCACTATATTTTCTCAAGTTCACCTGGAGGAAAGCAGAGAGGAGCCTGATTACTCAGCAGTCAAAGGGCCTTGGCCTGGACCAGTGTCGGGGTGCCAATACGCACCCGAACTCTTTGTACAAAGGCTTTTAACTTCAGTGAACCGTCAACCAGAAAGGGAGGACATTTCCTAGGAAAGGGAAATGGGGTCACAGTAAGTTCCTCTGTGAGAGCTAGGAATATAAAGTTTTCTAGAAAGTGTGCTGGATAACAAATGAAAATAGGTCCATTAATGTAGGGAATATGAATACTAGTTTTTGTTGGGCACCATAAAGCAAAGAACAGAAACACACTGTGTGTATGCACTGAAGCACCCGGGGAGGAGGGCGTAAGGACAAGATTCCTGTCAGAAA